CTTGATTCAGATGCCACCAGTTTTCCCATTTTCTGTTCCACAGACCTCCCCAGGATCCCACATTGCACTCTCTAGTCTCCTCATATCTGGAGAGGATGTTTCATGACCTTGACACTTTTGAAAAGTATTGGTCAGTTATTTTGTAGAATGCCTGTCAATTTGGGAAACCTCTGCTTTTAATGGACAGGATTTTGTGTTAAAAAAGATGGGCCGGCCGAGTGGCATGTTGGTTAAGAGCTGGCTTGGGACGCCAGCTCTGAGCAGCAGGGCCCCAGTTCGGATCCCACATGAGGGCCAGTGACACTGTGCTCTCTACAGCTAAGATGCTGAACAACAGCTTGACCTGGAGCTGGGCTGCTGTGAGTCACTGGCGACGGCGTAGGCTTCCATAAGCTACTGGGTGTGGCTGGCAGCCAGTGTGAGCGGCCGGCAGCCGGTGTGAGCTGCCAGGAGCCACCGTGAGCAGCTGTCCAATGACCGGCAACTGCCCTGCCTCACCTGGGAAGAGCGCAATGATAATACCAACATGGGCCAGTGAAGCAATGTCCTCCACAACTAGACTGAAGAACAAAAGGACAGCAACTTGTCTGATCCCCTTCCCCTGATTCCCCAGCGCTGTTTTCCTCCCCCAATTCCCCAATAAAAAATCTTTAAAAAAAAAAAAAAGATGGAAGGGTGGAAATGAGAAAAAAAGAACTCAGATGGTTAAATAATTCACATTGACCAAAAACCAAAACCAAAAATAAAACCCCACAGAAAGTCTAACATCGGATCACTAAGAACTAGACATCTTAAAACAATTTCCTACATTTAAATGCAAAGGGGCATGACTGGATCTGACATTTTTCTCAACTCAACCGACAGGTCTCTCTGTAAATGGACAATGTTGAATAGCTATAGAGCCAATTACCTCCCAACCACAAGATCTATCTATCTATCTATCTATCTATCTATCTATCTATCTATCTATCTATCTATCTATCTATCTATCTATGACACCTTGAAGTTCAGATATTAGTCCCTGTAATCCTAGACACACTGCTCTCGGTATACTCAGTAGAAAATCTTTAGAATCTTAGGGATTAAAAAAAAAACTTTGTTGTTTGATATTACATGCAAAAATGGGGGGAAATATCTGTCAGTGACCCAAAGGTGAAGGAGCACAAATAGATTTCTGCCCCATGGAAGTAGAAGTCGGTCTATTTCCCATCGATGGGAAAGATGGTTAGAACATATCCTGTCAGGCTTTGGCAGAGCACCGCTGTTTCCAGGGTGGGCTATGAGTTGAACATTCTGGCTTAAATCCTTCCTTACCGCTTACTGTGTGTGCTGGGCCAGGGACTCAATCTTTGCCATTTGCTCCCTTCCTGGGGGAGAGAACAGTACCCATCTCATAGGGTTTCCACAAAGATTAAGTGAAATAATCATGTTCCTGCTCAGTAAATGGTGGCCACTCTTGCCATTATTCTCAGATTCAACTTAGCAAAGAGTCCTCAGAGAGCACACTGTAGGATTAAAATGTTTTTCAATTCTGGGGGGGGCGGGAGGGAGAGAAAAAGAACTTAGGTTCTGCCTCTGTGTGCCCAGACACCTCTGTGTGGCATGTTCACACTGAGGCGCCCCCGTGTCAGATCCCACTGCTGTCTCTGCTGCATCGTGGGAGCTGTCGCAAGTCTCTCGGGCATAGACTGACAGCTGGTGCCAGCAAAGTGACCCATCGTGTCTGTGGAGGAGCTGCGAGGCAGACAGGGATAAACATTTCCACAGTCTGTTCTCTGTTAAGCAGCTGCGGGGAGGGGAGGCTGTCGCATGTGACAGGCTGGGGAGCTCCAGCCAGAGCATTCAAGCGGGAAGCAGGAATGGGGAGTGGAGAGGGGCCCAGACATTATCTTATCAGATGTAAGCCAGTCTCCCGCACCCCACTGGAGCAATCCCCAATGTGATGGAAGATTTGTTTCTATTGTACAAGTCCCACCTCCTGCCGGCCCCTGTTTGCTGGTCGCCTCATTCTCTAATGTCCCCAGCCTTTTATTGCCTTCGGAAGTGAGAGCCAACTCTCTGTCTTGGACAGGGTCTGCTGTCTCCGCACACCGTGTCCCTGTCAACCCCCTGCCTCCTTGACTGCAATACTTGGCTCAGGTAGAGGCTTGAGGCACGTTTGTTGAATGAATGAGTGAACTGATGAGCAGACAGATGGATGAATGGACACCCAAAGAAGCCCTTTCCATGCATGATTTGAATTTGGGGTACTAAGCTGATTTTAACTGATTACCTTCATTTTATACTTTCTGTCAAGTGGTAATGTGAATTAACTTTGACTCTTTAACAAAGGGAGGGTTCAAATTCTTAAAGCTTGTGGGGGCTGATGTATTTATTTGGTTTATTATGAGGTTATTATATTTATTATTATATTTACTATAAGGGAATTTATCTGAATTGTCATAAAGGCCCACAGAAAGTAGGATCCCATGGATGAGACAGATTTTCCATGAAGACCCACTTTTCAGGGACACGTCAGACAAGCAAAGGGACCTTAGCCTGTACTAGCTTTTTCCTGCAGCAGACAACACAGGAGCCCATGCAGAAGGGGTGTGAGAGGGTCCCAAGAGGTCTGGCATATCAAAACTTTGAGTAGACTATGATGCCAAGGGCATAGCCTCTATGCAGTCAGGCAGTTAGGCTTATGAAGCTTTATTCTGTTCTCTGAGCCTGTCCCAGAGAGGCTGGTCCAATGCCCATATCTACTGGGAAATTATTGCATAAGCTATAAGATGCCGGGTCCTTATTGAAGTTTTTACATGAACAAAACACTACAGTTACAGGACTAAAGCAAATATGTGACCAGAAGTGTTAAAGAAGAGCTTTAAATGCCCTCATGGGTAAAAAATGCCTACCAGTTCATGGAGCCTTTTGTCCTCATTTGGCCAGGCATGCATACCTATAGGCACCAAGATTATAGTTCATAGACACATGTCCATGCCACCTCTGCGGCTAATGAAATTTAAGATGCCCTGCTAGTGCAGCATGGACTTCTTCAGGCAGAATTTTGCATCTTGGATAAGAGGTCTTAGCAGTCCTTGTCAAGAATGAGAAATATTTTTATCCTATTTTCTGCCATTAAAGTTATTATCTTTCCTTAACAAATACTTGAAGGAGTGCTTTAGTGACATAAAGGGTTATTACAAACTAGTATTTTTATTGCTGCCCCATAGAACGAATTCCATTGCTCAATTAAATGCAGTCTGCCTCCAGCCAAGGCTCTGGAGCCAAACATTTTGTCTGGATAAGTTAGACACTCAGTCTGGAGCCCAAGGGGCCGGGGTGGAGTGAGCTAGTGCAGAAGCAGCTGCAGATGGACAGCTCAGGGGCCAAGAGCTAGGCTTGGACATACAGTAGTGTGTGTTGGTGGTATGATTTGAGGCTACCCCTCACCACAGATCTTTATCTCTATAAAAACCCAGACTTTATGTCTGTGAGTCTTCTAGAAGTGTGTTGATTCTTTGAGTGGAAAGCTGAACACATACTAGGTTCTCCATAAAGTGTTTGTTGATTGACCAATTGATGGGTTAGTTGTTGGTCCTGTTCAAAGTGCTGATTCCTGGGAGAGAAGAAACCTCTTAGCAATAGATATTAGCCCCTGTTCATTCTCCCATGGGCATGGGTCTTTCAGATCCTTTGTCCACAGGCTAAGTGAGCTTTTGCCCAGGGGATAATAGGGAGACATGGAATATGGGGTATTTATTGCCTGCGGACTTATGAGGTGGGGCCCTGCCCTCTGGGAGGCCTCAGAGGGTAACGCCTGCAGCCCCAGTCACAGAGGGGATGCAGGGAATTGGGTCTGGCAAGGAAAGATGGGAAGATACTAAGGGTGAGCTTTGCTTTCTCCACATTCTGACCAGGGGCCTGCCCTGCTCATCTCAGATCCTCTGGCTGTTTAAGGATCTAGGATGAAAGGTAGATCTGTAACACATCTTTTCTGAAAGTAGAACAAGTACCCCAAACTCTGTATGACCTTACATACAGAGTAGGCCGAATTCAATTTATAAATTAAGGGAAATGTAATTAGGCAACCTTTCAAATGGAAGGTCTTGTGTTAGAAGGGGTAGTTGCTTCCTCATTCATCCTTATCCAGCCTTACTTATTGACATCAAAACTGACCAACACTGAACAATGGAAACACCCACAGTTCCAAGTGACACACAAGCCAATTCTAAGTCAGTGAAACATGAGTGTTCCTTTACTGGGGGAAGCACCAGTGATAAGGGTCATTCGTCCTTCGTGAGCCTTGTGTGTTGCATAGAGAATATCCACCAAATCCACCCAGAAGTTTGGCAGTTTGCTTCTTGGAATCCAGTCCATAAGGAATCACTGGTTATTCTCTGTAGAGGCCTTGTGATGAGTTGAGAGTAAGATTCATGCTGCTCACAGAGAGACTCATCTTGACTGCTGCCCCTTGCGCTGGGTTCTCTTAACACCTTGCTCTGCAGGCCATGGGTTCTTTGGTATGTCCCCAGCATTGCTGCTGCTCCTGCATATTTGTGGGGTTGTCTTTGCATCATTGGAACTCACATTTTCCAAGGCTCTGCAAATTGTTTTTCCAGCTCTGATCCACTCCTTATGCTGGTCAGAGGCTGAGCTCTCAACGTGCCCTCTGAATTTTGACAGTTTGCACCCATTTCTCAGAAACTTTGTAAGGATGGGCCTTTCTTCCCTTCTCCCCACTTATAAGCCACCCCTCTCCCCTCCTCCACTTGGCTGTCCAGGGCAGCACCGGTGCCGTCTTTAGGTCAGCCTCTTGCAGCCCCAAGATTTTCCCGCCCTGGCAGATAGATGGCCAGGGCGCTTCAGCAGGGGCAGGACGGGGCCAGACCTCTGTGAGCCCTACGAGTCCCCCGGGAATCCTTGGGAGTAGGGGGTCCGGAGGACCGACTGCCATATGCCTGGCTGCTAATACCTCTTCTCTTCTCATCCCTTTGACCAATCCTCCGGTGCTGCTGTAGTGCGAAGGACCCTGAAGAGTGGCCTGACCCCAGAAGAAGCCAGAGCCCTCGGCCTGGTGGGCACCTCGGAGTTGCAGCTGTGATACCCGTGGGCGCCCTAAGAAGTGTGCCTGAGCTGAGTGCATGCTCCTGCTGGGGGGCAAGAAGACTCGCCATTAACATCTGAAGGTTCTGAAAGGGAGTGCCCATTTCTCTGTGTCACGGTGGCATGGCTGTGTTGCCCGCTGTGCACGGACGTGACTCTCTCAGAGTCTCTTTCATGTACTTTCTTCATTGTGTCAGCAGTGTTTCTCTCGTTTTCTTGACACCTGGTTTAGTAGTTCCAAAGTGTGGCACCTTTTCTGTGCAAGGAACAGCCCTTTTAAGGAGCAGATCACTCCTGTCACAGTTCCTGTGGTCCTCTGAGGCAATTTGATTAGAGTCACAGACTGGGTCTCTCCACAACACAAAAATATCCGGATGTAAACTCCAAAATTGTACACAAAAGAAAGCACAGATTGTTTACGAGTTGTGGATTTTAGATGTACTAAATGTTTATATGAATTCATAAATGTACACCATGTTTCAAATACTAAATAAATAAAGTTTAATGTCATAACCAGAAACTTCTCATCTCTTGGGTGTAGGACCTTAAACAGCTCCACAGGCTTGCCTCCTTCTGAATCGGCAAAACTTCTCAGATTCCTCAGGACACTGGCTCAGAATGGTCTCCAGGCCCTTCGGGCTTCATCTTTTGTTAATAGAATGAGAAGCCCTGACAAGGTGCTCTTTGTAACTCCTGATTTATTATGCATCAGGCTTTGTTATAGGAATGTTAGCAATAACCTGACCCACATGCTTTGTTTTGCTCCATTGTGGTTGAAGCAAAAATTAGAGTAGCATTTTCAAAAATCAACTATTCTGCAACTCACTCACTTGCCTCCTATGTAAAAACTCATTTTCTCAAAAAATGTACTAAGTCACCAAAACAAAATGGAAATGTAAAGCTTTGTCTACAGAAAATGACGAATGTAGTAGAGGTCATGAGGTGCTAAGGTGTCCAGAGCAGGGGGCACCATGAGGGGCTGTGAGCGACCTCAGAGCCACGCTGAGAGGGCTGGTGCTCAAGTGGTAGCTGAGCCCTCCACAGAAGTCCCTTGGTCCAGGGTCGTGTGGCTCCCCATGAAGAACCTCTGCCTCTGAAAACAGGGAGAGGTAAACCGTCACAGAGGGTATTTTGGGGGTTGAAAGATCATCAGGACACTAATTCTACCTTTGCCTTACTTTCAAAACCTCTGTGACTCTGTACTCCTAAATCTGGGTATATGTGATTGATAGACAAGATGCAGTGTGTAGTCTGAAAAGCCAAAGAGCATATGTATATGTTCACCCCACAGGCCTCTGTGACTGTGTCCCCCCTCTTCTTCATCCCCACTAACTGAGCAACAGGGAGCTCTTGTCAGCAACCATTTGTCCAGTAATACGTGATGAGTGTGAGTACCCCGGGCGAGCCTGGACCCTGCAAGAGCTAGGTCTGTATGTTACAGACAATTGAGTTTATTTAATCACTTTATTGAAAAGGATACATAGGTATTAATGTTTATTTCCTTATGGTTCTAAATCATGTGCAATACTCTGCATATTGTTTCGTGGTCTTTGCGTATTTATTTGCCTTGGCACTGAACATCGACATGGAATAGCTGTATCACTGGGAATGGTGATGTATACACAAAAGGGAAGATGCATTTTCGTTGAACCATTTAATGAACAAATACTTTGACGCTCTTACAGGGGCCCTGGGTGTTCTGCTGAGAGTTATTGCTTTAGAGCAAAAGGTCACAGTTGGAAGAAAGTGACTGAATGCATCTAATATTTATTTTAAGGATTAAAAACCTCTCAGAGGAAGCCAGCAAGCTAAATTAATCTTTTGGTTGCAGCTAGGTAGGTCTCTTTTTATTGGGAACTTGGTTTAGTCGTTTTTAGTGAAACGGGAGGATTTTTCCTATTGCTCGTTGCCTGTCTGCTAGCTGCCACTAATTCTGGCTTCCTCTGTTAGCATTTCTTGATTCAGGGTGTTAAGTTTCTCTAAAAGACCTTTGAGAAGCATTAAAGGGAATGGTACCTTACACTTGTGAGATGCTGTTGCTCATCTTGCTGGTTATCACCATAGCTACTCTAGTGCCTAATTCTTCACTTGGGTTGAAATGACCAAACTGCTAGTAAAGAAATGCAAACACTTCTCTGTTAAAGATGTCTGGAATTTGGGTTTCTTTGGACTCTTAAGGTTTTTCTATTTTAAAAATAAGTTAGCGATTTTGGGATGGAGGGAAGGGTGCACATAGCCTTGGAGGGCTGAAGACCCTGTTTAGTTTTATTCCAAGTCCATTGACACAGTGCAGAGAGGAAGACAGAGGCCTGGAGTCAGGAGGCCTGGTTTCCAGGCTTCTAACCTGTGGTGGCCTCCTTATAGTCCCCCGCTCTCAAGTCCACCTTTTCTGTCACGGCCTTGGGCTGGCGTATCACCAGATACCACTGTAGGAGGCTAAATAATGGCCACCCAAAGATAGCAGGTCCTAACTGCAGGAACCTGTAAATGTTATAAAGAAGGGTCTTTGCAGATGTTAATAAATTAAGGTCTGGGCATGGAGAGCTTATCTTGGATTATCTAGGTGTGCCTTAAATCCAATTTGATACATACAAAAGAGGAAACGTTATGAAGACAGAGGCAGAGACTGGGAAGAGGCAAGGGACAAATTGTCCCCTAGAGCCTCTGGAGAGAGTGAGGCCCCATGGACACCTTGCTATTGGCCCAATGAAACTGAAGTTGAACTTCTGGCTTCCAGAACTGAGAGAATACATTTCGGTTGTTTTAAGTCACCAAGTTTGTGGTAATGTGTATGGCAGCTCCAGGAAATTAATACAATGCCAAACACAGATATGCACTGAGGGCCTGTTATGGAGGTGACCCTGTGCCAGGGACTGGGGTTCGGCTGGGAAAAGGCGTCATGAGTCCTCCCCTTAGGGAGCTTACCTGAGACCACGAGGTGGTCATCAACTAAAATTAAAATTTAATCAACCACTCTGCAGCAATTTATACATTTTGTCAGAGAGGTAAGTAAAAATAAAAAAGACGCTGTTGCCTAAGGGGCGAAATGTCTTTGTAATTGCAATGAAAGTACATGATATTCAAATGCCCCATCAATTTTGTCCAAAAAAGCAGTCTATGTGGTAGAAAAATCATTCCTGTTTGCTAGGCAATTCATGGAGGGGAAAATGGGCTTTCTGAATGATTTTTTAAATAGTTAAAATATTTATTGAAGGCATCTTTGTGTGGGCACTTGTTATGTGTTAGTTTATATAATCCTTATAGCCACTCTGCATTTTCATTTTATGTACGAAGAAGTTGAGGATGAGAGATACTGAATAATTTTCCTCAAGGACAGAAGATGGGAAGAGATATATCCTGGCTTGTCACACTAGTTCCTGGTTATTTTTTGTTCTTTTAGAATCCTTAAGATGGTCTGTTGGTTGGATAGTCTAGGCCCAAACGTGCAGCACAGCCTGAACCAGGGGTGGGGGTGGGGGGCAGTGTGTGGGAAGCCAGTCAGTCCCACCCTGACCAAGCTGAAATCCTGGAGGCCTGGTTGTACACAAGGTGGCAGAACTATCTAAGCTCCTTTGGATAAGGGCTGACAATCATGCACAAATCTTCAACTATTAATAACTGGCAATCCATTCACCTACCCACCCACCCATCCATCTACATTCAGCACAAGTAGGAAAGATTCAGAAGCTCAAAGAAATCTATTGTGACTTTATGATGGAATGATTCCCACTTTGATGAACGGATAAGGTGAGAGGTCTTTAAGATTGCCGATGCTCAACTGAGGGAGGGCCAACCCATTATAGTCTCTTAATGGGCTCTATTTAGTTATTGTTTTTAAAAAGAATATTTAAGGTCTACCTGAAGAAGGACAAATTTATGATTTTGGGAATTTGTAGTTCAAACATGATTTCAGCTGTTGACATAGTGGAAATTGTTCCTCACTATTGGATTAGGTGGCGTCTTTTTCAGACGTTTTATAATTTAGAAGTACAGCTTTCCATGTACAGGAACATTAAATAGGTTCTGCCTAATTAGAAGCAACACCTGAGAATGAAATCTGGCACATTCTGACCATCACTGAGGAAGGACTGTGACACCATAGTTCATCAACCATGTAGGTTCAGTGGGTGCTGGACCCACTGTGTCTCCCAGGCTCCAATCCCCAGGTTCCCTGCTTGTGGCTGGAGGGCCGGAAGAGGTTTGCATGTGCCAGTCCCCATGTCTGCAGAGACTCAAGCACTCTGACCTCCTCGTTTCCCATTGCAGGGGCTAGACAACAGGTTTCTACTTCACGCATTTTCTTCTGTTCATTTTGATATAATATGCCATAAGTTATCTGATTTAGGTGGAAACACAAGGAAGTGGGTTTGACCAAATATAAATGATATCCCATAGAGGACCTGCACAGGATATTACAGATATGGCATTCAGTCAACCTCAGGGTAAGTGGGGCGCCTTCTGTTCCTGTGTTAGCAGCAGGCTTTCCTGGACCCTGAGGGGCCACGGCAGCACTTGGACTATTCAGTTGACCCAACTAAGCAGAGGCCTTGGCTTCTGTTCTTTCAGAAATAAATCAGAAAGCTCATATTCCTTTAGAGAGTGTCCCTGCCCCTTAATAAGCATCTGCTGAGAAATGCTTTTAAACCTGCACTCCTCTCTGGAAGTGGGTTCCACTTAGGGACAGACAGATACTTTTGGGTAGGGCAGTGGGCTAGGAAAATGAAGCAGTCACGTTTTCCAAAAAAGCCCCAACCAACCAACCAACCAACCAACCAACCAACCAACCAACCAACCAACCAACCAAAACACTTGAATTGTGTGCTCAATGGAATAATTATATTTTTGTAAAATTCCACTTTGAAAGAAGGAGAGCTGGCTGCCTGGGGAAGCTTTTGCAGCTGCTTTATCCAGTCCCTGAAAAAGAAGTTCTGATGATATGCTGATTTAGACAAGGTCGTTTTTCCTGGAACTCTGCACACAGCAGCTGGTGGTAGACATGGCTACAGAATTAGAGCAATTCGATCAACGTCAGAGTCCTTTGTGGTTTAAAAGATGAGGTGTGAGATTGGAAGTGACAAGGAATAAAGAAGCCCATTCTCGCTCAACCCATCCTCAGAAACGTAATCTCAATGGAAGGAAATGGGTTCCAATCCAGCAGCCCATCTCAGCAGGTATGAAAAAACAACTCATTTCTTTTTGGAAGAAAAACTGTCCTGAAATTGTAAAGATTGTGAACATTTAGACAACTTCTTAAATCAACATGTATATTGAAGTTCATTGTTTGGTTTAATTAAACTTTATAAGCTTGTTTATGAACAAATGTAAGACTTTTTTTTTTTTACATGACAATGTAGGGATAATCTTTATTTTATTATATAACCCTCATAAAATCCAGGGCCTTCAATAGCCCAGCCTCAGTACTTTGGTAAGGCAAAATTTGGGATTTGTCTTGTGCTTGATAGAATTCTTCGTGTTTTTAATTGATGTTATAATGTTGAAGGTGATTTCCCATTTTTGAATGGCCTAAAATATGAATTGTGAAAATAGTAATTGAGGCCACAGCAGGCTGTTTTGAGAATCAAATATTTAAAGGAAAATAGTTTTTCTTAAGTTGTTCAATAAACCTGCATTCTAGAATCCCAGCAGTTCCAGAAACTGTGGTCGTGGGCGAGACACCTGTGGGAGATGTGTCTCAGGAAGCACAAGGGATTTAAACGCAGACCCTCAAGAACAATCTGTATCTACCTATATCCTAAGGGATGACCTCGTTTACAAATAAAGTTTAAAGTATAAAGTTGGGAACTGGAGACTCTGTAACGGTAAGCTACTTTTCCATCTTATTAATCTTGTCCTAATAGTTCGTCCTTCACTTGTAGTTTTTGCTTGAGGGATGAGATCTCTCTCTCCGTTAGACTTAAACTGTTCTGAAGACTGTTTCTGTCCCTGTCCTGGTTGGTTTACAAGGTATTCTTTGCCAGTCTTTTATGGTGTGAAAAAAGAAAAAGCTAACTTGGTCTCCAGAGGAATAGCAGGTAATTTGAGAAGTGACATTTCTTGAGTGTCTTGAGTGATCCTTTTTGAGCTCAAGAAGGTGTTTTCAAAGCCAGTTCCACCTGCTCCCTGGGAGGGCAGTGATGAACTGCTTTAAGGTGCAGAAAATCTGCTCCTTCATTCCTCTCAGCTTTCCACGCTAATATGCAGGGGCCTAGCGGCTGAGCTGCTCTGGGGCCCATGACTACCACATGGAGCAAAGCGCAGAGTCCGAGCAGCTCACTCTGCAGCCAGGATGACGGCCCCTTTTCCAAGGTGTGCCGTGGCACGCTGACTCATCCTGGCTTTCCCTGTAAAAATATGTAAAGTAGGAAAGGATGCTCCGTCTTAGAAAAATGGTGTCTTAAATTAGGTAAATGTCCTTGCTCTTTGTTGAGTAGAACATGGTATAAAAGGGCTTTGCAGCAGAATTATTCTGAGAATGGTAATGTAAAAACATGCCATGCATGGCCTAAGAGAGGGCTGCCCAATAGAACTTTTTGTGATGATGGGTATGTTCTGTATCTGCACTATTCAATATGGTAGCCACTAGACATGTGATTGCTGAATACTTGAAATGTGGCTAGACTGAGTTTAAATTTTATTTGATTTTAAATTTCAAGGCTATCTGTTGTTATTCGGTACTGTATTGGATAGCACAGGTCTGAGAGAACACACCTCTGTATGTACTTTGTTGCTGTTTATTCATTTTACATACAGGTTTTTATGTGAAATCTGCATATAAAGTTGCTTTGTAATGTCATTTACCCCATCAAGAACTTGCGTCTAAGAAAGTCTGTCCACCCCTGCCTATACTGTGTTCTGAGCCTTGAGAATTCTTGTCCTCAAAGGAGAATTCTGTGCTTGATGTTGGGTGCTATCACATAGGCACTATTCTCTCCCATGGCATTCTGTGGTTTATTCTCATTTTGTGATTCCAGCATGGTGTCTTCCTTGGGCAGTTCATTTATAGTAGAGCCTATTGCCATTTTAATTGCTTTAGTTTCAAAACATAAATCTCATGAGTTTTTCCCTGTGTAACCCACTTAACCATGTTGTCTGAAGTCTTTTGCCAGGAGTGCTTCCTTCTTCCATCAGCAGGGTCAACTTCATGGGCGTGTGACCTGGGCAGGCACACAGGGCCCCACAATCAGAAGGGCTTCATACTTGGTTTAATGCTCTCCTGTCATTATCTTGTAGTTCTTAATTTGATCTTTGAACTTGTGTTTTTTAAGTGAAGTCTGATGAGGCAAAGGAGCATACGCAGGAGATGCGTGCGATATGTATGTCCACTGTTCCTTACCGCCCATTCACTGACAGCCTTCATGACGCTATGAGCACAGAATCCCAGTGGGCCCACCACGTGAGCGTTCAGATTCATAACACAAGGTAAGCATGTTATGGATAAAACTGAGTAAGGGCACTGAGGGCCCCCAAAGGCCTTGCTTCCCATTTCAATCAGACTTGATTTGAATGCAGAAAGAAAATGATGACATTCTAAGAAGCATGAATGACCATGGAACTCTAACATATCCTTTCTTATTCATGTTCCTTTCCTTTATTAGCCAACCACTTATGCTGAAAATGATGACATAGAAGAAAAGGAAAAAGTATGGGCGCTCCTAGTTTCTTTTTCTTTCAATCCTTCCTTATCATCAGTAAGTTGAGAGTGCTGACAGAATGTGTACATATCAAGAAGTGAAATAACAGTTATGCTAGTTTTGTGTTTCTATGGTTATGGTAAGAGTACATGCATACAATATGTATACATAAGCTATGAGATACAAATTGCATAATTTTGGTGATTCTGCATGAGTTCAATGCTCTTATATTTGCATCTAAAACTGTAACTAGACATTAAAAAGAATAAAATTAATGCTAATAATTTAAAATTTTAATATTTCTTTACTTACACCAGTATTAAGTAGCAAAAAAAAAACCAAAAACCAGAGAGACCATAGAGAGGAACAACATTTTAGTACGTTTAGTGGTACAATGTTTTCCTGACTTTTGAACCAGAGGTCCCACATCTTCATTTTGTCCTATATTTTAGGTAGACAGCTCTGCTTATTGCTCTGGTCCTCCCAGGGAAGGTCTCCTCTCTAGCATTTCCTCATCAGAGCTCCCTTCTGTCTACAGCCCTTTGAGGACCCCCTGCTGATTGTCACAGATTTGAGGGGCACCACTACTCTTGTGGCTCCTCTGCTGCTTTACTTGTGAAATCTAGAACTGAATCAGGACTGACTTAGAAGTAATTCAGGAGTTCCACAAGTACTAGAGGAAGGATATCTACCGCGATGCAAGATGACGTGACGTCTTAATTCCTCTCTAACCTTGATTTATCTCGGAGAAGCAGCCAAATGCTGGAATCTTTTATCTGGTGCTGCTGGTTCCCCTTTGATTAGTTCTAGCAGAAAAAAAAAATACTTTGGGAGACTAAATACACCTATTGTCCTTGATAACTTGGTCTCTCTCTGTACTTTTCTGCCACTCCAATTGTTGAACAGCTATGAATAGACAAAGCAGGTGGAAAGCTCTTGTCAACAGTGACTAGTTTTATCAACTCTTTATGAACAGTCCTGCAAAGCAATTCTTGGGAGTTTGATTTTAGATGGCTGAAAGTACAGCAGAATCACCTGTTCTTTAAAAAACAAAAAACAAGGATAATTTTGGCAATATCACAACACAAAACTGGATGCAAGATACTTTATAGGAAACTGATGATGAGAAACTTTATAGGAAACTGAAGATGAATAGAGTGATATTTATGGTGAAGGATATGAAGAATATACAACTGTACTTTCAAGAGTTTTCATGGAACATTATGACCCATCAAATTAAGGTATCAACGTTCTCTAACAAATTAACTGATCTGAGCGGTGTGAACATATTTTAATGCAGTGTTGTCCAACAGAATTTTCTGTGATGATGGGAATGTTCTATTATCTCTGTGCTGTCTATATGGAATCCACTAGCCAGGTGAATACTCACAATGTGGCTATAATGCAATTGAGGGACTGAATTTTTAATATGATTTAAATGTAAACAGCCACACGTGACTAGTGACTATCAACTGAACACTGCAATTCTACTGCTTCATGGGTCAAAATGGGTGATTTCTCTGGGGGACTTTTCTAATCACTGCTGAGGAGTAGGAGGGCACAGCTGGAAAAAGGAAATTTCTTAACAGATCTGACCTCTTAAACAAGATCCATAATTCTCCACAGCTTCTGGAGGCAGCGGGTGGCACGACCTGCTGCGGGGACAGGAAAGGACTCTTGGGGAGACCTGAGTATGCCCTTTAACTCCTGGCTAATCCTAATAGGAGTGAGAGGCCTGAGATTTTGGTCACTTGGATGGGAGGAGTCTATGGTTCCACACCCAGAATCCGAGGCGTGGGCCACCCCTGGGGCATCTGTGCGAGGAAGTGATCACGTGGGGCTGGCCGGGGAGCTGGAGGTGAGGCCGCTCATTTCCGGGCAGGGTTTCCAGAGCCAGAGGAAGATTTAGAGGCAGAGGGAGGACCTGAGGGTGCTTTCTGGCCACCTGCAGGCTGAACAGGCCCTTTCTTTTTGGGGACTAAGGTCTTGTTCTTGCTCTTGAACACTTTGCTGGGATCCAGCTTGTTCACAAAGGAGTCAGTCTCTTCCGTGAGCAGGTTTGTGTTGTAGGTGATGGGTTTATACATGTTGAACCATTGCTGTAAGGCAGAATTGGGAGAGAGGGTCAATTCAAAGGAGAAATGTCCTTGTTTCTGCTTTTTAGTGGGGATACGGGGTAGAGAGCTAGAGAGATGAGGTAAAGAGAGTAAGTTTTTATGAAAAACTGCCTTGGAAATCTATTAGCACTTCCTTCAAGTAAAAGTGATGAACACACATTGCTTTATGAGACCTCAGAGCCTTTAAAATAAATGCAGCATGAGAACTAAGACTCTGAATAAACTTCCTTTCTTCTGATCTCGTGATCCCTGAGCCTGGGATGCTAGGTCCCAAATCACCAGGGGACAGTGTCCTTCTAATTGTTCTGCCCTCAGACCCGCCACTGCCCATCAGGTGGATTTGGCAGGATGTGTAATATAAATGAGGCACATCCATACTTTGGGATACGCCGTGTCATTAAAATGGACAGCTCTCTATGTACTGATCGGAAACGAGCTCCAAGATGGAGTGTTAAGTGAAAGAAAGTGCAGAACAATGCGCTTGTGATTTAGAAAAGAGAACCGAAAACGGCGTGCACGCATGCTTTATATGCAATAGAGCACCTTGGTAAGGCATACGAGGAACTGTAACAGTTGCTGCCTGTGGGGAAGTGCAGTGGGAGGCCCAAGAACCAGGGGATAAGAGACCAACTTCCCTTCAGTGTTCCTGTGTGCAGGTACCGCCTAGCCAAACCCACCATCAGGCGTAAGCACACAATAAAATGTAACCAGAAAAAACTCCCCTGGTGATTCTGAGGCTCAGCCAAGTGTGGGAACCACTTAGCTAGGTCAGCATAAAGTGAGGTTGTCCACCTATACTGGAATCACCTGCTGTGCTTATTGAAAATGGTTTCTGGGCTCTATCCCAAACCTCCTGAATCAGATGAGGAAGCTGGGAATCTGCAATTTAAGCATTTCCTCAAAAGATTCTGGTGCATCCTACACTCTGAGATGACAGGTGGTCCTCCCTTACCTTGGCCTGTGGGCTAATGCCATAGTTGGTGAAGGCATACTGCCACTGGGGCAGGCCCAGGTGGGTGATGAGAAGGCGATAGTAGGCGGTAAAGGTGTCTGTGAGAAAATGCCAGTATAACGCTCTGTCCAGGAACCAGATCTCAGTGTCTTTCGCTAATGCTGAAATAGCAAACGAAGTAAATCAATGAGGGATGGCTTAATACTCTTTTCCTTTTATCTTTGAAGTTAATATATACTCATGGTTAAAAAGATTTGAATAGTAGGGTGGATGTAAAATATAAGGAAACGTTCCCTTTCTTCCCTTCCAACCTCCCAGCCTCATTCTCCACTGGCCACTGTTACCAGTTGGCTTCTTTGGTATTCTTTTACAAATTCTTCATCAGTCGGTCAACTGACCTACCTACTGGGCTTTGGCTATTGGTGCATCAGGCTATCTACACCGCACTCCTTTACTGTGTGGAATCAGCACCCCCCTCCCCCAGTGGGTACCTACTGGCATCTCAGCTTTTCTGACGGAGAGGAACTCTGATAGGAATTGGAAGTGCTGTGAGAAATCACCTCGGAGGAGTTCAGGCTAGCTCCCTCTCCTGGGAATCCTGCCTGTGCTGCTACGCGACGTTCTGGTGGAGCTGAAGCAGCACTATCCTACCAGCTCCTGCCTCATTCCCATTTGCTTCTGACCTTTCATTCTTACTGCTGTAGGCTTCTCCTAGTTCATCTCATGTCTAATGGCCGTAACATCTCCCTAAGTGGTCTCCATACTCAAGTCTTTTCCCCTTCCCAAACTGCTTGTGGTCGCATACATTTTCATTTGAATCCTGCTCTTCTTTTGCTAAACCACCTTAACTCCCCACTCTCTTCCAAGTTATGTCCAAACTCCTTGCCCTGGCTTTCAAAACTCCACATGAAGGGGAACAACTGGGCTTCTGGCGTCATTTCCCCATCCACAGGATGAACCATGTGGCCCAGTGAGCCGGATTTGTCATTCCCCCCAAATCAGTTACACTTTCCCACGGCATGGCTTTTCCCCAAAAGTCTCTTTGCTTGGATGCCCCCTTTACCCCACCAACACCCTCCATCCTCACCCCATATCTCATTCCTACCCATAATTCAAGATGTAGCTCAAAGCCTGCTTCGTAAAGACTCCTCCAGCTGGAGAGCATCTCTCCTTTCCCCAGAGGCAAGGTGAATCCTGGTGTACCTTCTCACCCCTTTCTATCTGGCAGAGTGCTATGTGAAGGAGGCTGGGCCTTGTCCAGCTCTATAGTTTCACAGCCCCTAGACCAAGGCCTGAACTGCTTTAGGGGGCCAGGTGGTGGCCACTGCTTAAGGGGCCAGAGCCCTTCTCTCTTGATTTCCCATCTGAGGTCTTAGACTGAGGTCTAGTAATTCAAGTATTTATTGCTGTTAATTGGCCTACATAAAGCATTATAGAAGAAACAAGTTTTTCCTGGATGCTTTTCTAATACATGAGCCTGCTGGAGGAGTTATAAACAGAATGACAATTTCTTTTAGTTTTTATTCACTTATTATCTTAATCCCATTATTTCACAATAACTCACAAATGATGATAGCTTAAAGACTCTATTAATTGGCCTAGTGGGGATGCTCAGAAGGTCTTGGCACCTACAAGAGACTTGATGGTATCTCAGGGGGCCAGGGAAGAGCATACCTTTTGTGTGATGGCTGGAGGGCAAGGTCAGCCAAGGCCATATCAAACTATAGGACCGTGCTTGTCAATGATTCTTACCTGGTTTTCCTTTTTTGTAGACAAGGCAAACCTTCCCATTCCCATTGCAAGGATCCAACTCAAATATCACACTGCGAGAATCAAAGTGAGGCTTCTCTGGCTCGTTCTCATTGGCTGCAAACCCAGAAGTTCATGATAATGTTCAAACATACTCAACTCACACTCATACTTACTAATCCAGCTTTGCTAGGATGAGAAAACCGGGCAAAAAGCCTTATCTTAGACATATTCTTAAATATTATTTTCAAATGTGGGCTAAATGAATTCTACACTCTAAATGCCCTAGATCTTATCCACGGCTTAGGCCTTCTGTCTGTGTCCCCCGTCGCCAATAGGCAGTGTCATGGAATCTGGGGGGAGGTGGCACGAGGAGAACAAACTGAGCTTCTTGGGAGTGGGACTACATAAAGCAGGTTCATCTGTATGACCTGACGTTGACATAACTTTTTTCTTTTTCTCAGATAACTGCTTTCCCCTCATTTATAACAGTTGATGATCTTTTGATTAGAATTTCTTTTCCTCAGTCTCAAATGTATATATTTAATTATAATGTTAACATTGTTATAATTAATATAATTATAATAATTATTATGTTATAGTTAATGCTAAATCTGGCTCAGTTAGAAATACCTACCTAGAAATCAAATATTATGAAGTAACAGAAAAAAGATAAATTATTAAATGTAAGCATCAGAAACCTTCTCTCCTGCTTCTTTCATTACAACTATTATGCAATAAAGATTAGTATTAGTGACTGGGTGGAGAGAGTTCACAAAACTAGGAGAGATTAGATAAACCAAACTTTATAAAATAGTATTTTTGATTTATATATACATAATTGTCATATAAATGCATAAATATTTACATTTCTAATTAAAAAGTTTTTCTTTTCTTTTTTTTAACAGAGCTGTCCCCTCCCCTAGAAGTTATACCTTCATATTCTTCTTGATCTCATACGGTGTTAGACATACATATAGGTATGTATTTAAATTTTGTAAAAATTATTTATTATATAAAAATGGAATATCACATACATTATATCTGAATCTTTTTTTTTTTTTAAAGATTTTTTTTATTTTTTATTGGGGAATTGGGAGGTGGGAACAGCGCTGGGTAATTGGGGGAAGGGGAACAGACAAGTTGCTGTCCTTTTGTTCTTCAGTCTAGTTGTAGAGGCTGTTGTTTCACTGGCCCAAGTTGGCAGCATCATTGCGCTCTTCCCGGGAGAGGCAGATCAGTCGCCAGCTTCTGGACGGCCGCTCACGCTGGCTGCTGGCTACACACAGTAGCCCATGGCAGCCCACTGCAGCAGTGGCTGCAGCCTACACCGTCACCGGTGACTCACGGCAGCCCAGCTCCAGGTTGAGCTGCTGTTCAGCATCTTAGCTGTAGAGGGCAGTGTCACTGTCCCTCATATGTGGGATCCGAACCAGGGCCCTCTGTCGTCCCAAGCCAGCTCTTAACCAACGCGCCACTCGGCCGGCTCTATATCTGAATCTTGCTTTCTGTGCAAAACCATTGGAAAGCCCTCTAAGACATGTGGCATAACTCTAATTCACTCTTTTTAATGGCTGCTTGATAGTCTGTGGGAGTGGTTGTACCCTCATTTATCCCATCATGCCCTACTGATGGGCATTCACCTATCATTATTCTGCTGTGAATTCTACAGTAATAATCTCTGTACACATCCTTATGTTCTGGTGTTTTCATTACTGGGATACCTCGTTTTATTGCACGTCACTTCATTGTACTTCTCAGATATTGCATTTCTTACAAATCAAAGATAAGGCCTCCACCAGCAAAAAGGTGACTCATTGAAGGCTCAGATGATGGTTAGCATCTTTTAGCAATTAAGTACTTTATAATTAAGGTGTATACATTATTTAGACATAAATCTAATGTACACTTAATAGGCTACAGTATACTGTAAACATAATTATTATATACACTGGGAAACCAAAAAATTCTTCTGTTACTCAGTCCTGTGAACTTGAGCTGTCTTCATCTAACTTGGCTCTTAGCTTTGTCTTTCTTCTCAATTCATGGAGTATAGTAGGTTCTGCTTAGGTTCCCCTTTTTATGCAACAGACTGGAAACTCTCTCAAGTAATAAGCTAGCTTTCACCTTGTTCCCCATCTCTCAGTTCATTCTCCTTTGTTGCCTGATAGTCAGAGTCTTGAAACCCATTATTTTATACACTTTGTCTGTTTTTGTTGTTGTCCCAGGTGGCAGGATATGTCTGGTCTCTGACTCCACCGTGGATGAAATGGAAAGTCCAGACTGTAGGATCCCACCAAGTTTCAGCAGCTCTGACTGATGCTGACTGGGATCTGCCCTCAGGTGAAGTTATAAAAATAGGGAACTCATTCAGTGTGGTTCCCTTTTGCCATTTGCAGATGCCATTCCAATTTCTGCTTGTTTTGGTTACTCTCCAGTCCTTTTAGGTAACTGTTTTAATTTTTTTTTCCAGAGTTTAAAGTATTATTGGCATAGGTCTTGATCTAATAAAAAGTAGTCTGCCATTACCAGAAGCAGTGAATATTTAATTTCTTTTTTTTTTTAATCTGCAATATCACTGTTATTGGTTCCTCACTGAACTTTTGGTTTGGTTTTATATTCATGTGTGCATTACCATATTGTTTTATATTCTGTACCTAATCATTTTACCCTTGGGAGTACTAGTGGCTCTCTAGTACCTGTTATTTGTGCTGGTTCTTGTTCATGGTGTGTTTTTTTCATATGCCTGTTTATTTTTTAGTACAAATTATTTTTTGAAAAATGATTTTATTAAAAAATATGAGGTGCATGCAGAATGTTATCTTCCTTGAAGGTGGAATTTTCTTTTTATATGAGAGCTTTATATTGACATATAATTCTCCTATCATACAGTCACTCATTTAAAGTGTGCAGTTCAATGGTTTTTAGTATATGTATAGAGTCGTGCAACCATTAACACAGTCAATTTTAGAACACCTCTCTAGAATGAAGTCCTGTTTCTTTCTGCCAGACCCCTAAGGAGATCAGTAATCTGGAATCAATTTAGTCCAATTTGGGGATTTAACATTTTCTGGGACACACAGATGATTTATACCTGAGCTTCAGTCCATGTGAAGAGTGGTTTCTTCTGGTTCATTCTTTCATCTAGGATACAGTGCCAACACAATGGGTAGGGTGGTTTTTATGGGTGTCATCATTTGTAGTTCCTGGACTCCATTTTATTTCCCTAGTCTCACATACGGGTCAAAGTCTCGGCTTTTCAGCAGGATCATTACCTCTTTTAAAAAGGACAATGTATCCCAGGGTTTGCTTGAAACTTTTAGCTTCCTTGGTGTGTAGAAATATCCTATCTCTGCCTTTTCCTTCAAATAGCATTCTTCCTATGTCTCCGAATTTTCTTTTTACAAGGACACCAATCATATGGGATTAGGGGTCCATCCTAGTCCAGTAGTCATCTTAACTGTGTAATTACATCTGCAATGAGCCTATTTCTAAATAAGGTCACATTCTAAGGTGCTGGAGGTTAGAACTTGAACATAAGAATTTTCAGGGGGGAGGGGCCACAATTTAACCCATTAAACTCTTATATCTTGTCCCTCTCCTTTCTTTTAGGTTTAGGTGAGACGGTATAATATGTTTTGAAATCTTCCTTGCACTATGTCCCCCTTTTTTCCAAGAGTTCTTATGTGAAAAGTATACAACACATTCCTAGACATTTATATTCTTTGTTCTTTTTTGTTATTCTGATTGGGTGTTTTCTGCTACCTTGAATTCCAGATTGCTGATTCAGTCTTCTGCTTCATCTAATCTGTTGTTGATTCCCTCTAATGTATCTTCATTTCTGACTAGTTCTTTTCTATGTTTTCTATCTCTTTGATGATCTCTTTGAGGTCATCTATTCTTCCCCTAAGTTCATTGAGCATCCTTATAACCAGTGTTTTGAAATCTGCATCTTGCAGATTGCTTGTCTCCATTTCCTTTACTTCTCTTTCTGGAGCTTTGTTCTGTTGTTTCATTTGGGACATGTTTCTTTGTCTTCCCATTTTGGCAGCCTCCCTGTGTTTGTTCCTGTGTATCAAGTAGAACTGCTATCTGCTGGTCTTAGTAGAGTAGGGGTCCTGTGGGGCCCAGTGTCACAGTCTCTCTGGTACTTGAGCTGGGTGCTGCAGGTGTGTCCCTTCTGGGGGTTGTGTGTGTCCTTCTGTTGTAGGTGAGCCTTGATTGCTGTTTGCACGTCAATGGGAGGGACTGACCCTTAGGCTGACTGGTTGTGAGGACTGGCCGTGACTACAGTGGAGGAGCTGCAGTGCAGGGGCTGACCCTGTGGAGCAACATTCGCTTTAGCAGGGCTCTGGTGACTGCCCAGTGTGCCTTTGGGTGTGTCATCTGCAGAGACAACTGAAGCCAGCCCCACATTTCAATGTTTATACTTTCCTTCAATTCTTCTAGTTAGTTGTTTGAGAATCTTTACTTTTTTTCTATAGGAATTCTTTGTGCTGTCTTAAATGTCCTTAAGTATTCTTATTCTTCTTTTTATTTAGGTTTTCATGTGTGTCCTTTAATAGTTTTATTTCTCTGGTTGTATATTCTGATATTTCGTCCTGATTTTTATTTCTGACTGCTGAGTCCCCTGAGAAAAGTCAATATTTTTCTATTTGGCTTAATGAGACTTGGGTCTAGCTGCTGAACTATCTTAAAAAGCAAGGATCCAGCAGATGCCAGAGGCCAAGTGGTTTTTATCCCCATGAATATGTAGGACAATGTGGTCTCTACCCCTAGCTCAGTCTTTTGCTGAAGACTCTTGAAATCATCTCTGGTATCCAGTCTACCTCTACTATTCCAGCCTAAAGGGCAGGGAAGACTCGGTCCACTTATTTCACAACTTCTTTGTCTTTTAGGGGTTAGCAAGCTCCAGCACACACATATGAAGTCACCGTGACCTTTTCCCCACCCTTGAGAATTCCACACATCTCTGGGTGACAGGCTTTTCCCAGGGTCCATCACTTTCCAGTCTCAGCTGCCGGACTCCTCCGATTGTCCAATACCTTGTCCAGCTAAAGGAGAAAGCCTTGCAACGGTTCTCTCTGCCAAGGCTTCAATGCACCCCAAGGCCTTAGCACTGGAGATGCTAGTTGCCTACTCAATATTCATCCTCCCTTTCTTTCTTACTTAAACCCCAATTCTGTTTGAGGAGGCAATCAATACTCCACAGCTAAACACTCCTCAGGTTCCCTTGCAGCTCAGGGTAACCCTCTGACTCTGTTCTGGCCAATGGCTATTGGGAGGAGCTTCTGAGAAAACTATTGTTTTCCTGGTAAAAAGAGAAAGATTTTGCCAAGGGATTCTGCCCTTTACTCTTGTTTATCTGCCTGGAATACAGGCTTGAAGCTTGGAAATAGAGCCCGCATTCCTCACTCATGAAGATGAAAACTATACCCAAAGGCTGGTGCACCGGGAAGCCAGAGGGAGACTTTCTCAAGCAGCTCCACTAGCCTAGTGCCAGATTTCTTGTGACGAGAAAAATAAACTCCTATGTCATTTAGCCATTGTAATTGGGTCTCTACGATATGTAGCCAAACACAATTCTGACTGACAGAGTCCTTACTTCTCATAGTTGCTCACAGCTTTTAGTAGCCATTTGAACTATTAGCCATTTCAATCAGAAGGGAGGAAGGGAGCGGCATTAAGACTGCCATGTTCCCAGAAACCTCCTGATACCGAAATGTTGAGTGAAGTGTAATCTGTAACATTCATTCATTTACCAACTATTCGTTAAGTGTCTACCATGTGCCTGGCTCTGAAATGGGTGCTAGAAACAAGGCATCCAACCCTGGCATTTTCTTCATGGACATTTCCTTTGATAGAGGCTGTTTTGACCTTACTCCTACAGTCCTGAGAAGCTAGGAATGGGAAGAGTTTGCGGGAACATATCACAGGCTGATTTCTAACTCAGAGCATGAGTTCCCCCAGGTACCTTCTTCTGTATCATCCTCCAGGTCTGCCAGAGTTGGCGCGTTAGGAAGTGAGTACATGGAAGACTGGTTGAGTTGAGTCAGTTTTGCGATGCTGTTAATTGCCATGTTGCCCAATGGAATGGTGTGCTCTATGGGAACATTAAAAAGGAGAATTACATGGAGTACAGCCTAGCTACCATGGTCATCAGTAGAGATTCTGCTTAAGTGATCTAAGCCCAGCTGTTGTTTGATCCCAGGGCTGAGGAATCTGATGGAAAGTGGAAAGAAAAGAATCAATGCACTACATTCTCTAAAGCACCAACCTTTCATGCAAAAAAACAAAAACCAAAAAAAACCCCCAAAAAACTGGGGTGATGGTTGAAGAGTCCCTACTGCATGTGTAAGGGCAGACTATTCAAGAAAATTTAAAACAGAGATGCTCAAAAGGAACTGGGAAATCTAGGGTAGGGGCCATGTATGAAGAGCAATGGACTTAAACATGTTTTTACTCCTCTTCACCTTGAATGAAAGGTTATACTTTCCAAAAAGGTAACAGTTTTGGTTATAACTGACCCCTTTTAGTCTTCTTGTTATAAGCTTTCACGATGGAAAATATCTCCCCCCACTTCATTTTTCCTTATTCCGTGGAGAGAACTTGGCAGACTTCTTGCTTGGGTCCAGTCTTCTGTGATTAGGGCGTAAATAAGAAACAGACAGACTCTACATTTTCCTTAACTATTATTATACAGAATCCTTGAAATGAAGAGTGCTGGACATGGGATGGCACACAAAGACTTAGACATCTGACTGCTAGAAAACTGGAATGGCTGAGGCGAAAAGGAGCTGGTGTATAGACCATGGAATGTCCAAGAAGAAAAGGCCACTAAAGAGGTAAACATCAGAAGATGCCTCTGCTGGTTTTTCTGTTACTGACTTTAGCTATCCAGTGAAAAATGGGGTAAGGATAGGAAGATGGGTTGGGAGGATTAAACTGGAGAAGTTATTGTAATAATAAGAAGGGACTCATTCGTAAAACCTTCACGAAATGTTTCTTTTCTGAGTCAGGCTTGTGAAAAGGCTAGCCTATCTCCAGGATGTGGGCAAGAGAGAATCTGACAGTCTAGGTTTTGTCTCCTCTCTCTGTTGCTCCAGACGCCAAAGGCCAAGTCCATGCTACAAAGGGGGGGGGGGGGTTCTCATACTGGCAACAAGAATGGTTTCTAGGCCATTGGAGGAAATGATTGTAAGCTAAAAGTTCATGTGACGTGCTCAGTAGTAAGCTATGAAGAGTGCCTCTGCTCATCTGTGAGAGAGAAATAAGAAGGTTGTGGCAATCACTTAAAAAGAGGAAATTCAGGAAACAAGAGGCAATGAAGGGGAGAAGTCTGTTCTGCAGATTTGCTGTGCAACGAAAGTTCCTGCATTCTCAGTGACAGCACGGAAGGTGTAGGGTGCTTCCCAAAGACCAGAGTAGATCTGGTCATGGAGCTGGAGTATGGGGGCAATAAAGGCCTCCTGGGGACAGGGAAGTCTGTGCTAAGAATGGGCTGGAATCCAGTGGCTAGATCAGAATTTCCTCACCTAGGAAATTTTACTAGTCTTCACCTAAATGTGCAGCACTGCCTTTCATGTCTATATAGTACCTCAATCTCTGACATGTACCAAGTTGTGAGTTACCCACATCCGCAACACCAAAATCTGTCCTAGACACATTTAATAACAACTGCCTGCAAACAGAGGCGGTTGGTGACTTAGGCTGAAGAGATGTGAGGGAGAGAAGGTCTGACCCTCTGACCAGAGCCCTGAGGTCTTTGCTACATTGGGAATGAAGGAAGGGAGACCCTCTTATGACCAGCAGAGGCTGTCACTGCAGCTCACCCTGAGGAGACTGCTCTGCGGTGGAGTCCTTAGAGACTTTTAAGTGTGAGGTGGCTCAGGATTTGTTTGTCGTGATTAATTTTTTTCCTCTTCCTCATTCTAACAGGAAGTTTCTATTGAGATTCCATTTAAGTACTGGCTAGACTCTGGCACAAGGCAGGGGTGTGAAGAATTGATGGTATATGTTAGCTTTGGTCACAGCTTCTGAACACTGCACTTTAAAAGAACCCAGGGAAACCATCCAGATTCAAAGACTCAAAAGTTGTAAAGGCCCTCAGAGTTGTCGCATCTAACCTCTCAAGGTTCCCCGACAGCAAAGGGGCTGACTCACCATCCAGCTTCACACTCCAGGTCATGTGGAAGCCATTGGTCATTAGGTAAAAATTCTTCACATCCTCAGGCAGCGCACAGTTATTTTTCTAGAGTCACAAAGCAGCTGAGTGTTAGGTCAGGGCTGGGAAAGAGAGCACAAGGCTATGCCTCAAAGCAAATGGGGACAGTAGTAACCCCAAAATAGGAAGACTGTGATAATTATCTACAAAACTGTATTGGAGAATTCAGGGTCAAAATGGCAATATAGAAAAATAAAAAAGGCAACACAGGAGACTCCTCACCTTACCCCCACAGACACCCAAATCTACAGCTACATATTGAACAATTCCCTCTGAAAGGAATTCAGAAACTAGTTCAATGACTCCTACATGTCAGGCAAACAAGAAAAAACTCACATTGAAGTGGGAAGGAAAGGCAGATCACACTCACCATAAAGCCCACCCTTAGCGGGGTGACATGCACTGGAAGGGAACTCACAACTCCTAGATTCTCTCTGAGGAGAAAAGAGTTTGGACCCCACATCTGGCACCCCAGCTTGTAAGACTTCCACTTTAGAGGTGGGTCCCCCAAACATCTCGCTCTGAAAGCCAACAGGGCCTGGGTCCAACGCTGTAGTGAGATGAGAGACAGTTCTTAACGGGCTCACGTCAACTCACTGTGGCCCTCCTTCCAGGGCCCAGTGCAGAGCAGACTGAGGTCAGAAGTTTTTTGGAGAAAGAAACCTATTTGCTTTGGCCTAAGGAGCAGGTTTCTAATTTAATACACATCTAGATGCCAAATGCAATACTCTCCAGCGACCAGGGAGGCCAGCAGGCGGTATCTTCGTGCTTTCCTTCTGCCTCATTCCAGATTGCTAGCATTTCCCAGAAAGGAGCTTGTGCATATACATGTCTGACACCGTGGCTTTTGCAGTTGCTGCCCATGGGACGCACCCCTTGATTGACTGGCACTGCCTGCTGGGCTTATATTCCTGGGTCCCACAGGACCATAACAAACAGAGTTAACAGTTCTTAAACCAGCTATTCTCCCAGGGCACAACTCTGAGGCAGCAGACTGAAATGTTCAGTCTTTCCTTGGAATAGGCTTATTTGTAGATCTTAAAAGATACAGCCTGAGGGTCAGGCTTATAATTTAGCAATATCTAGGGGCCAAATGCAATCCTCTCCAGAGA